TATATAATAGATTTATGTATATCAATGTAACCAGTGATGCGCATTTGCCGCGCTGCGTCTTATTACTTCATCTTATAAAAGCCATCGCTAGTCTCTTCGCCTTTTCTTTCTTTCTTTCTTTTTTTTTTTTCTTTTTTTTTTTTTTTTTAATTATAATAATAACTCTTACTAAATCGTTTATTAGGCTCACTGTATAGTGTGTCACTGTATGTACGTGGCTATGTGGATGGGTGCGCGCGTGCTAGGCGCTCGTGTATAAATGTTCACTACACTATTTCTACCATTTCTTACTCCCCTCTTTCACACGTCCGTTTTCCTCTTTCTCTCTCTCTCTCTCTCTCTCTATTTTCATCCTCGCTAAATTATTCTCTCTTATTTTCTCGATTAGCTTATTATCGTAACGAGTAGCAAATAATTATTCACTACATTTGTGTAAATGTGTGTGTACACGTGTTCCGAGTGTGATCCAGACTTGTACGTCCTTGTGTGTGATCCTGCGCCACTAAGTCATCATTACAATTAAAATTATTAAGGTTAAAAATTCACTCGGCCTATTTATTTATTTTTTTTTTTCTGCGCCGTTATTTATTTATTTTATTTATATTAATCGGTCGCAAAGGTACCTCATCGAGGATCCGCGACCGCCTACGAAGTTATTGCTTTTGAATACCCCGGCTTCCTTGGGAGCATCCAATTGGAACAATATCCTGTAAATATCAGTCGCACTTTAGAGGAGGCAGGGATTTTTTTTTTTTTTTTTTTGGGGGGTTTTTTTTTTTTGTTGGTGTTTTTTTTTTTTTTTTTTTTGGGGGGGGTTTTTTTTTTTTTTTTTTTAGGCGGTTTGTTCTTTTCTGTTGCTGTTGTTTTTTTTTTTTTTTAGATTGGTGTGTGTTGTTCTCTTTTTTTTTTTTTTTTTTCCTCGAGGATACTATCACAATGCATACAATATCAATATCTATATGCGTTATAGGTAAGATTAAGGTTCACCTTATATCACATCCGTCCCTAACGCCGTGGTTTGCGGCGTACGAGCTCATAAGGATCCATGGCGATGCTTTGGAAGCACGATTTTTCGAACGAAATGACGTAAAAAAAAAAAAAAAAAAAAAAAACGTAAAGCAAGCTTTCAAATGATAATATACACGATAAATGTTAATATGTTAAATCACTTATTGCTTTCTATCGCGGTATATAATTTTAACTATTTCTAACTATTTATTTCATCATTGATTATTTCGTATTTATCTCGACATTGATCGCAAAAAAACATTTGTCTTGAAACGCCATCTACACGTCCTAATGAAACCCGAGCGACACCCCACGGCGATTAGCTCATTAATTTAGGTTCGCAATCAATAATAACAATAAATAGTAATCATAGTTCGCAATCATTATCGTCATCGTCATAGTCGTTGTTAATAATTGGTACTCGCAAGCGTTTGTAATCTCGGATCATCGCTCGATATTGCTTCGTCGTATTTCTTGCTCATATCTTTCGTTTTCATCACGTATGTATCTTGTTTGCTTTTTTTTTTTTTTCAAACCTGTAATTGACACTGTCCGTACTCGTTGAAACGCATAAATACACGCTAATGAATAATTTTACTGATGTATATAGGCACTTTTTTCTTCGTTCTCCTCTTTCTCTTTCTCTCCCTCTCTTTCTCTCTTTTCTCATTTTCTCTCCCTTTCTCTCTCTCTCTCTCTTTCTCTCTCGTTTCATTCTTCTTACGCTCTCTCTTTCTCTCTTTCTCTCGCTCATATACTATTCCAAAACAACAAATTTGTTTATCAACCTTAAAAGGCTCCTTTTTTTCGATAAGAAAAGCTTGCAGCTTTAAAAACAGACATTTGTGTTTAGACAATCGTTTCTTAAAAGCTAAAAAACATTATGAAATCGAATCAAAATTCACGCCTATCATCTTAACGAAGAATCGATCAAATCATCTTCGTTAACAGAATTCTTTTGATATATATATATAAAAAGGTATCGAGACAGTGACAGAAGGAATTGAAAGCAGGTTGAAGGAAATATGAGAACAATTACGTGCCTCTTAACTTCTACCAAGTCTTTACATAGTCGCTTTGATATGGTAATAAATAGGAAATATTTCACGTTTTGAGAGGATGTAATACAATAATACGTTAGTTGGTAGAAGAGAATAGAGCTATATGAAAACAGAAAGTAGAAGTAGAAATAGGAAAAGATATAATGATAGATAGAAGAATTTCGAGCGAGAGGCTGCTGTTACATTTTCGCACCTGTTTCCGGACGTAGTAATTCTTATTAGAGCATTCGTATTCCAATTAAAAACTTGATCCAAATGTTTATTCCTCATCTTGACGAATAATAAAATATGAAAATAAATAAAATTCGATTCAATTCAAAATAAAATTGAAAAGTTCAATCTTTTTTTCAATAAATAAAGAACAAAAAAAATTTGTTTTTTACCATCTATATAAAAAATAAATTTATATAACAAAATTTCTACGTCCACAAAACACTAGTGTCATTACACTCAATGCGCCTACGTGTATACATATATATGTTTGTTAAAGTTTAATTATTAATTGCGAACGCTTTGCAGATTTTGCAACTGAGATGTTTCTCGTACGCATATAGGTCGCAGACGAAGTAGAAAGTACAGTGAACAGTGAGAGTCATAGAGAGAAATTTCGTGTAATACGAGAAATGAAAAAAGTGATCATCAGTAGATTCCTATTAAATTGAACTCTTCGTGCAATGGTAAATATAAAATACTTTGTTCTTAATAATCGACACCGTGTGACATCTTTGACGATCACTTTTTTATCCGATTCTTTTTATCGATCGAAAATGCGCGCGAAAATCGAAGAGCGAAGAAAATGACATTCGACTAACATAGTTGCATTTGTTGTCTACGAAATTTTACAATTCTTTTTTTTTTATTTTCGTTCTTCCTTTTTTTTTTTTTTTTTTTATTTGTACTTAATATCACTGCTATATAAATGGTTAGCTTGCTATAATGTCTAATTAAACTAACGAGACTTACGAATTTATTGACTCGTTATTGACTCGTTTCTAGTTCTTGAGCAATCCTGATCGATTGATCGCGCGCATTTTATAGTTGGCCTTTTATTATCAGGTTATGCCATGCATAGAACAAGTTTCATGGGAACCTGGAGTCGTTTTTTAAATGATTATTACGTGGGGTAATGTGTTATTGCTTAAGTAGATAATTTTATGACAATGACTCAACAAGATGCTCAAACTCTTATATTCTTTTTAATCGCCATTAAGCACTTCATTCCATTCATTGGAATGAGTTGTATATACATTTAATTTCTCCTTTGTTCAAAATGTATTTTTTAATACATAAAATTTTTTCTCACATTAAGGATCATTGTATGTATATACATAATTTTTCGTTGAATCAATCTAAAGAAGATTATGTTATTTCTTTTCTAGATATTGAATCAATAATTTTTTTTTTTTTTTTTTTTTTT